CCCGGGGAGCAGGAGCACCATCAGCCTTTGCGCCCCACAGCGCCTGGTTTTCAGACGCAGAAACCCAGAGGCAAGAAATGTAAAGCGGACAGCGCTGAGCCAGGGGGCTGTGGGGAGAGGCTCTACAAAGATGCTTCACAATTAGCCCGCTTTGGCCAAACACATCAGCTTTTTTACTTAGTTTCCCGAGTCCCAAGCCTCCACAGATTGAAAAAGACGACTGCATTTAGTCATTTAATGAGTCAAAACCGCATGTAGAATAAGTAAAGTCTGGTTCATCCATCACCGAAGGTAGGAGGATTAACTAGCTCATTAAAAACCACCTTTGACAAGAAGACAAAGCATCTCAGAACAGCCCGGGCGGGAAAGCAGCAGAAGAGGCAGCAGTGAACTCGCACCCCCCATCCCTCACAGAGAGGGCACAGACGCAGCAGGACGGCAGGGCTGCAGGCCCGGCTCTGGCTCTGCGCACGGCAGGTTTGGGGTCTCGCTGTGCCCACCTGGCTCTTTCTCTTGCAGGCAGGAGCAGAAGAGGCAGCGCGGGCTGGGAACACGACACACTCTGCCCCGCAGAGATTTCAGTGCTGCTGGGGCAGTGGTTTCAAGTTTGGTGCATGTAAAACAAACCCGCAGAGCGAAGCTGGCAGCCCTATGGGCTCGAACACCCACGCCACCATCCCACCCACGTGCCCACGGTCACATTTGCCACGTGGGATTTTAACACGACCCCTTGGCAGAGTGAGCAGAGAAGAGCAGGGCTCCAGCCTCAGCCATGCTTCTCCAGTGCAGGGTGGCTTTCCTGCCACAAAGAGCTACTTGCAGCAAATCACCCCTTCTCAGCTGCTCCGACCCCAGCTACAGGCTGCTGCTTTGTGCTTCCTTGTTTAATTAAATCAAAGCCTGGAGCTCCCCTCTGATCACAGCTCCCCCAGAGATGCATTCCACTCCCCATGCACAGAAGCGCTGCCCTCACAGCGGTGTCTAGGAAATAATCTTTTCCTGCACAATGGTCCATTTGGGATAGCAGGTCCTGCCATCAAGAGACTGCTGTCCTAGGGTGAGAGAAGCCCTCAACACCCCCAACCTCACCTACCTGCAGGAGGGCACAGCCACCGCTCCCCAGGGGCAGGCTCTCTGCTGTCCCCCCCTCCATCCTTGCAGGGAGGTGCAAACACCCCAGCAATACAACACCCACAAAAAACAGCTCGGAGACCGCCATGCAACCTCGACTGCCTTCCTGCTCTCCAGTCCCAGGCTTCGGAGAGACCCCAAAACCCACTGCTGAGACAATACTCTGCAACAAGCCTAACCCCCTGGCCAGGGGGAAGAGGAGGGCTGGGAGCATGTCCCACACTGCCAGCTCCTCTCAGATAACCCCCAGAGTTACTTTAGCAGCTGCACAGGAGTACACAGAGCTGAACTGGCACCTGAGAGTATTTGCTAGAGGCAAATATTGACACGAAGGACCTCAGAGAAGCACAGCCCAGCAGCTGAGATAGCAAGCTGCGTTTTTTTTTTTCTTCCACTCTCCCACACAGTCCTACCAAGCTGCAGTTCTGTGCTGCAACTCAGCCCTTGTGTTGGAAACCTGTGCTCCTTACCCAGCTGAAATCGGTTTGCCACTGCTAGAGCTCAGGGGGTTGCGCCTGCCCCCATTTCAGGCAGGGCTGCCTGCCTGGGGGGCCCTCCCCATGCCAGAGCCATGGGGATTAGTGTTTTGAAGCAAGCAATAAATTCCGGAGATGTGTAAAATTCATTTGAAGATTAAAGCCGTGGGGGCAAATCACCTAGAACAAACAGAATGTTTTCCTGGCTCCATTTGCCCTGGAACACGCAAAAACCTGGGAAAAATGAAGACACCCCGGGATCATACATGTAGCTGAAGTCCTGTAATTGGGAGGTTTGTACTGGGAAGAACTGGATGCAGTGGGAAACATACTGGTTTTCCAAGGCCTGGAGACACATTCAGCTGCCCATCCATGGAAAGAGGAGCCCAGGCCATCGCTGAGCGCTGGGTGAGCACGTATCCAGGTCATTTTTCCCTTGCGCAGGTATTTAAAGGAAAACCCCTTTTCTTTAAAATCCCAGTGTTTGGGAATAAAGGCTGTAGCATACCTGCGGGCTGGTGAGTAAAACCCTCTTCATGCAGGGGTGGTTAAGGCAGCACAAGCACAGGTGACACATGGAGCATCCTGAGAGGGAAGCAGTGACTGGTGGCAAAACCTTTTGCTTCCCAAGCACTGCAGCCCGCTCCTACAGCACATTTCCCCCCCGCACGTCATTTTTTAACATTTTGATGGCCTACAGGCTGTTCACAAGGGTTTCATCCCTGTGCAGTGGGATGTGGGGATGGGAGTGACTGCGATTTGCAGCATCACAGACTGTGTGTGATGCTGGTGGGCACAGAGGGGGGCAAAGCAGGGAAGCAGAAGCATTAGGTGCTTGTCACCTTGGTTGTTGTGGCTGGCTCACACACCACCTGCCAGGGGCAGGGAAGCCTGAGCATCACCACCCTTATGTCAAGAGGCATCAGCATCGAGTTACAATGATTATTTTTATTGCAGAATCACTCTTCATCTCTCAGCAAAATGAGGGAGTGCCCAGCTCAGCCCCGGGAGCTACAGGCAGCTCTGCCAACGGGAGTAGAGGCTCAGCTGCAGCCGATAGGTACAGGAGGAGGAAAACCAGTGCTGTCTTCCTTGTGTTACTGGGATGTGGAGGGGAAGGGTTGGGAGCAGGCTGCCCAGGGAGCTGGTGGCAGAGATGCCTGGCAGTTCTCTGAGGAGAAGCTCGAAGTGACCCTCCTGCGTGGTGGCTGTTGCTGTGGCGTTCATGGTCACACGACTTGCTCCGACTTCAGAAGCAGAGAAGGCACCTGGAAGATCCCTTCCATCTCCCCGCTGCTCTCCGATTAAGAGGACACCGGGCGCCGAATAGCGAAGAACTTGGCCGGTATTGCCTTCTTCTCTATCTCAACCCATAGGGAGAATAAATCCGTCTCCTCATACTCGATGGCAAGCTGGAAGGTGAAGCTCTGCAGCAGCGTGGTGAGGAAAAGGAAGAGCTCCATGCGGGCCAGTGCCTCTCCTGGGCACATCCGCTTTCCTGGGGGCACAGAAGGGGAGGGTGAGCAGGGGGCTGATGGCTTCATCCAGGGTTTGGGGAAAAAAGTGCATAAAAGGATAGCAAGGAAGCTCTTATTAAGGGTATAACTTTGGTGCTGGCAGTCCTGGAGCGGAGCTGCGGCAGGCAGAGTGCTGGCCAAGGCGGCTCGCAGGGCTGCGCACTGACCTGCCGAGAAAGCCATGAAGGCTTCGCGCTTCCTGAACTCGCCCTTCTCGTTCAAGAAGTGTCCTGGGTTGACTTCTTCGGGGTTCTCCCACTGGGTTGGATCCATATGCACGGAAGACAATACTGGAATAACAGCTGTGCCCTGCGGGAAAGGGACAGGGCAGGGAAGCAAGGAGAGACATCAGTACTGTGACAAAGGTCTCTGCGGAGAGGGATTAGCAAGCAAGGGGTGTCTGGGGGGCACGGGGGGAGGCAGGATGCACACCCCGATGCCCACCCAGATGCCTGTGGGGAGGCAGCCCCCAGCGATGGCTCTGTGCCCAGCAGGGACAATTAACACGGGGTTCTGCTGTTCCCATGGTCCTGCCTGTCTCTGTGCAGCTCATGAGACAGAAATTGGTGAGTTATTCCCACTGATTTATGTTACAACCCCTCTTGCTGCGCAAAGCCCGAAGGAGGGAGGTGATCATTCAAGGTGGGTGCTGTATAAAATGTCAAACTGCCGTCAGATCTGCCAAGGAGGTGAGGGCTGGCTTGGCCCCACGCTGGGGCCAGCTCCTGCTCCCAGCCCCAGCAGCCCTGCACATCTCCCCGGTGGAAAGAGGCGTTTTCCATGGCAGGCGAGGGGCACAGGCTCATGGGCAGAACTGGCAGCAGCATTCACCTCCTTCTACTCCTCCACTAGACAGTTATCACCATCCCCCCACCAAGGATTGGGAAAGACCCAGGATCTTTAGGAATGAGCAAACAGTCCAGGGGCAAAGGCAAATCTCATTCAACCTGCCATCCCTCCTCTCAGGGGCACAGACACTCCAAAGCCACGATGTCTACCTTGGGGATGGGGTGGCCCCTGAACACCACGTCCTGCGTTGTCATCCGTGGGAAGTTCTCGGTGCGGATCTTGTGGAAGCGCTGCAGCTCATGGATCACCGCATTAGTGTACGGCATCCTCAGCTTGTCCTCCATGCTGGGAGCGCGGCCGGCACCCACCACCGTGTCGATCTCCTCTTGGACCTTGGCTGAAGAAAAGGCAGGCGTGGAGCTGCAGTGCTTGCTGTGCAAAACCCCCCATAATTCCCACTGGCCTCCACGGGCACCTATCCTGGGGCCAAAGGACGATCAAGCAGAGAGGGAACAACCCAGCATAGCCCAGAAGTAGGGTCTCTGTCCACACACCTCCCCAGATCAGCAGGTTCAAAGCATCTCTCATAGGCCTGTCTGGGGCCATCTACGCAGGCTGGGGTGGAGAAAAGAGAGCAGGGACCTGGATCTCTCTGGCCTGTGTGAATCTGTGTCTCATGGCTCTCACCCTTGGGTGACCCATGCAGGGTGATTTTGGTCTCCCCCCAAGCAGGATCATCCAGGGCTGGGACTCTCTGTCTGCACCTTTGGTGCTCCGTGACCTTCTCAGGCACAGGGAGCAGTTGCATTTTGCTGCCCTTACCTTGAATATGGGGATGTTTTGCCAGGACCAAGAGGAAGAAGACCAGGGTATTGCTAGTAGTCACTGTCCCGGCACCAAAGAGATTGAATACTGACATGACCAAGTCTTCGTTGCTGTACATGTTCTCATGGATGTTCTCCTACAAGGATGCAGTGGGAAGGGGAATTCAGTATTGTCTGGGCAACTTCTTAGGCAGCTGCCAGGCCTGGAGGGCAGCCCTCACCCCTCTTGGCACCACCTCTACCTTCTCCGCTTTCATAAGGAAACAGTCGATATAGTCCCGGGGGCAGCTGGGATCCAGCGTCAGCTTGTGAAGCTCAACTCTTTCTCGGATATAGTCCTTCAGCTTCTCGCACTCGGCCAGGACTTTCCTGTGTGGCCCCGGGAGGAGGTGCATGATGCTGGGGAAGGTGTTGTAGACCTGCAGATGGAGGAGGTACAACAGGGCTCAGGTGCCCGGACAGAGCCTCCCGCACCTTCCCTCAAAGCCATGCTGTCCCATCGAAGCCAAGAAGTAACCCAAAGCCAAGGACCGTCCCTTGACCACCTGAGCACATTGGACATGAGGGTGCTGAGCACAGCCAGGATGCCTACCATGGCAATGGGGGTGAGGAAGAAGCTGATGTAATTCCCGATCATGTTCAGTAGCTCCAGAAAGGCTTTGTCGCTGTAGCTGTAACGGCTCCCAAAGACAACGGAGCAGATCACATTGGAAACTGCATGTCTGAACATTGTCATGGGCTCAAAGGCATTTTCTGCAGCCATAGAAGAGACAAGGAAGGCATCAAAGAGTCAACAGGTTTTATCTGCTTCAACACAGAAAATACTCTTCCTTCCACTTCATGCCCCTGTCCTTTGAACTCTGAGCCCTGGTTGAATCTGACGGGTCTAACAGCCAAGGCAAACAGCCCCCCCCTGAGCTGTGGGCTCCTACATCTACCTCCCTACTCCTAAACCCCTCCGCAGCAGTTGGGACTGAGGAAAGCAGAGGCATCTCCAGGCACTTTGGGCTCCTGCTGGCATGCCCTGGAGATCTGGGGGGCTGCAGAGCATCTCCCTGCAGCAGCCAATGCCTCACCAGCCCCGCACATTGGAGGCAGAGGACCCAACGTACAACTGAGCTGCCATCTCCTCTTATATTCAGGAAGCCCCAGAAGAGGTGGTGGCACTGGCAGCAGCTCAGTTTTGTTGGAGAGGAGGACATCACCCTGATAACCCTGTGTTGCCAGGGCAGTACCTTACCTGTGCATTCTCAATGCCATGCAGTTCAGTTTCCTATTTCTTTTGGCATGAAACATTCCTCAGTGATTGCCACCCCCTGCCCCAGGTCAGGAACAGGACCTCTCACCCCGGCTTTTAATCCATGACCATACCACGTCCCTGCAGTCCACGCATCCTGGGTGGGATGGCGCTAGGTCTAAGCCCTTTTTCTACGAGGACCATCTGCACCAACCATTGCAAACAGCTCTGGGGATCACATATGGGGCTGTTGTGTGCCCTCCGCCTGCCCTGGGGCCAGGGTGGATGGGACTCGTGTTACCTTCGAGTTTTGCCAGCAGTTCCACCAAGTGCTGGGCCTCTTGCTGCACCCGCTGCGACATGGAGCTCTTCCCCATCCCGAAGTCCCGCAAGGTGATGAGTGTGAACCTCCGCAGCTCCTGCCACTTCTTCTCATTGTTGGAAATAAAACCTGGAGAGACGCAGTGGAGACCACTCACCTGCCCGCCCCGCCGCCCCTCCCCAGGAACGGGGCACCCTGCTCAGAGCCCAGCAGAGGAGCAATAGGGCAATAAGCCAGGGAACAACCCTCGTGTGCACAACGTCCTGGAAAGGCCCAGGGTCTCTACAGAAACTCAGAACAAAGCTGGAACTGCCTAACTGGGATCAACACTGTCCTTGGACAAGAGGCGTGATAGTTGGAGGAATTGCAGAGTGGGAGATGGGTGTTTGATGTCTGGGGTGTCGAGTCCTTCACTAAACTGGAGCATGGCCAGCAGCAGCTGGAGACACTGGGGCAGGAGTGTCTATAAGAAATCCAGACACCTACCGTAGTCTTTCGATAGCTGCACCAGAATGGGTATTTCAGGTCTTCCTCCAAACTCCTCAGAGTGGCCCAGCAGAGCATCCTTCACCACCTTGTACCCGCAGAGCACCACCACTGGCTTCGGCCCCAGCCAGACGGTGAAGATGGGACCGTAGATGCTGCTGAGCTGGGAGAGGACAGGAAAGCTGTGATGAACGAGCATCCCACACACCAGCCCTTCGTCTGAATTTAAATCAGGTCTCATGGCTGCAATGTGGGTGAATGCACAGGCAGGAAGGAGAAATGTCTCCCTTGAAGCTGGCATCCTCACCCTGCTCCCATCCCAGCCCTGTCCTTGGCGAGGTTCTGATCCCAATGCCACTTTGACAGTTCGAAGCCTGATCTCTGGGAAGCAGCTCTGGATGGCAGCAGTGCTGCAGCCCGGAGAGGGGTTAGTGTCACCACCATGGGTCCCTTACAGGGAGTGAGAGGCTTCAATAATAGGTTTGATTATGCCAGTAGCAGGGATTTAGACAATTCTGGTGGAGCAAGAGAAAAGGGAAGGAAAAAGAGAAAAGAAAGGTAGGAAAAGAGGCACTTGCATGATTCCACTTTTATTTTGGCAGGGGACATTCACACTTTCTGTCCTGCTGGGGCCGAGAGCGGGTCTGACAACCAGCTCCTCTCTTACCTTCTCGTAGGTTCTGTAGAGGGGCAGGACGTCCCTTTGCCATAGGTTGCCCAGAATGGGCCACGGGGCTGGTCCAGGAGGCAGCCGGCTTCTCTTCTTGTTGGTTCTCCAGACCAGGAATGACAGGATGGAGAGGAGGAGGAGGGTAATGAGCATCATGGCCGATCCAGCATCCATCCTTGGCCAGACTGCTGAGCAGGAAAAAAAATCAAGAAATTCCCCCTCCAGGGAGAAAATCACAACTGAGCAGTGAGCAGAGGGGAGCCGAAGCCTGCCGCCTCTGCCCTTCCTTGTGGTCTATATAGGCACAGCCCTTCCCACATCCCCGGGGTCATCTTCTGCGTGTCCCCCCGCCGCCCCCGGGCGGTCAGTGACACGGAAACGCTGGTTTCTCCCAGCCAAGCGCGTACCTGGCCCCGCCGTGTTGTAACACAGGTCTCAAAGAGCTGACATGGGGTGCTGGAAGCATTGCAAAACCCCGCAGGCGTGCTGGGGGAGAGAGCAGCTCTCCCCTCCCCATGTTGCTGAGTCACTTTTTGCTCGGTGCTGGCATGCAGTGAGATAAGATTTCACTGTCCTGGCAAAACCGCACGTGTCACTGCCAGGTCATTGCTCGTTTTGTCACTGCCAGGCTTAGCAGTGCAGTGACCTGGGAGGGGACGTTCTGGTAAACGGAAACTCAGGGAGCCCAGGAGCGGGGCACTCACAGCTGGTCAGGTGACAACTTTGGGTGACAATTTTCCATCAAACTCCTTTCTCATGAACAATGGATCAGAAAATAGGAAAACCACTTTTTTTTTTTAATATATATATATTTTGGGGTTCCACTTTGGTTTTGGAGGAATGACAACTCTGTGTTGTGGTTGTTGCAGGCGTGGGGTTAATTATTCCCTGCAATCCTCCAATTTCTTTGGGGCTCCTCCGATATTTTTGAGCATCTAGTCCTGAGCACCAGCACATCTGGCTGCACAGGAGCACATCTGGGACTGGCCGAGCTGCCACACCTCTGGTTGGAAGCTCTTGCAGCGCTTGGCCAAGCGAGCTGGTCGCAAGCCAGTTCCCAGCAAACGGCGTGATTTCTCCTGGAGGAGAAGGCCGGAGGAAAAGAGGGAGGCGGTTTGATCCCTGTAGTGGGAAGAGACCCTCAGCAGAGGGCACGGAATGCTACTTGCGGAGAGGAGCCTGGATTATAACGCTCACCAGAGCAGAACATCTCCAGGCGTCCAGCCACAGGATGAATGGCAGAGCTGGGACTGCGTTTGGGCAGGGTGGATGGAAAGAGCCAGGACCTCTGCGCTTGCAGCCTTTTTTGGCCACATACCAGGGCAGTTTGCAGGTGTCGGGCTTGGGGCTGCCGGCAGGGTTCATCCCAGACAGGATGGGGGGGATGCTCTCCTGTGGCCATGATGCGATTCCTTACGTGTACGCACCAAATCTTTCTCAAATCCCCAAAAAGTGACTGGCAATGAACTTCCTGCAGCCCTGGGACTGCTCAGTTTCAATATTTTTATTTTTTTCCCCCTGCTCCATGCTGCTGGGGGCTGCAAAACATACTCAGCAAAAGTAATTTGAGGGGGTGAACGGCTAGAGGGGAAGCCCCATGGCAGTGCCAGAAGCCCTGTAGCTGAGACTCGCAGGGGCTGAGGCCAGGAGGTTACCGTGACTCACTTGTTTACCCTGTCCCATCCCATCCTGTCCTTGCTCTTCCCACGGATTGCTCTAAATTCTTGGCTTGGGTGCCCGTAAAGGGGGAACTTTGCTCAGGGAGGTGATGTAGTGGCTGGGATTTTGGCAGGGAAGTGAACAGCCTTGCGGTGACTGACACCGTTTTTTTCATGGCAGCCAAACAATATGAAGGAATCACTCAAACAACAGGAAAAGAAACAGCCATGGGGATTAATTTGAGCTGCAAAGTTTAAATCTGATGGAAAATTCCCTCTTCTGCAGGCGAGCTCAGGCAGAGCCTGTGGTCACCTGCCTGGACACCGGTAGCATTTCTGGGCAGCACTCCTTGCTACAGCAGGTTTTTGGAAAGGTGAATGTCTGTAATACAACAAAAAAGCATTATTATATCACTTTTTATTAACAAAATTTAAAAAAAACCCCAAACAAATCACCTGGAATTTTTGAGTACAGGTCACCAGACAAGGAGTTTAACAAGAAATAACTCTCCAGAAGCAAAGTTTTTAACTGAAACTTTAGCAGCTAAGCACCACTTTGCCTGAAGGCAGCTCAGGAGGGGAGAGCACAGATAGGCTTTGGTGCAGCCACTTCAGCACTTTGTGGAGCTGGGACATAAAGTGTTCCTAAACCACTTCATATGGATCCAAAATCATTAGTACTTTGTCTTTCTATTGATTTTCTTACAAGGGCTTGGAGAAACCCTTGTAAGACCCCTTGGAGAAGAGGGGTCTGTAGTGAAGCAGGCTGCTGCAAGGCTTTGGGATCCCTTCAGAGTCAGTTGGTGAGGCCTTTCTGCCCCAAAACCTAAAATAACAGAGATGGGTCAGCAAAATCCCATGGACAGACCCATGTGACATGAGCAAAAAAAAAAGAGAATATTTTGACTTCTAAAAAAAATTAAAAATCCATTTACAGATTGCCACGGCCTTTGGATTTTAATTCAAAGTCATGTTTTGGGACAAAACTCATGCAGAAATAATGTGTAAAAGGAATTGGGGAGCAGAGCAGCCCATGATGGCCCCTGAATCCTAACCCTAACCCTAATGGATGCTCCCAGAGCACAGGGAGACATCTGGTCCTGGCCATACCCAGTCCCGGTGCCAGGATGGAGCCCAGCTCCTCCCAGCCATGCTGCAGCTCCGCAAGGGACGGGAGAAAACATTGCTCAACACATTGTCAGGTTGCTGGATCAGAGCCAGAATATATTTGAGAGGTTGATTCAAGGAACTAGAAGAAGTGATGCTCATGGGGAAATTTTCGGTGTAGAGGTGTATTTGGAAAAACTGTGAGGCAATCACAGCAGTGCAGAACTGAGAGACGATGACTCCGGTTAAATAAAGAAGTCAATAAGCTGTCTGGGTTACTAGATCTAGGAAGATCTGCTGGAGGCAATCATAATGGCTGTTCCTGTCTCTCAGGGAGTGCTTCTCTGCAGTCAGTGTCAAAACACCCTGGGAAGGAGTGGGACATGTCCCACATCACGGGGAGGAGGATGGGGAGCAGTGCCATAGCATGGCTGGGAATAGGGTCTGGCTGGGTCCTGTAGCCACAGAAACACCAAGTCACCGAGGCTGGAGGCACCTCCAGAGGTCATCTCCTCCAGCCTCCTGGGCCAGCGGGAAGAGGCTGCTCCAGGCCACGTCTAGTTGGGCTTTGAATATCTCCAGGGACGGAGACTCCACAACCTCTCTGAGTAACCTCTTCACATGACCAACCATCCTCACAGTAAAATATTTTCTTATGTTTAAGGGAAATTCCAGACATTATAATTTGTGCCCGTTGCCTCTTGTCACTTGGCACCTCAGTGGAGAGCCTGGCCCTGTCTCCGTTACCCCTCTCCATCAAGAATTTATACACATGGACAAGATCTCCTTGAGCCATCGCCTCTCCAGGCTGAACCATCCCATTTCTCTCAGCCTCTCCTCATCGGACAGATGCTCCAGGCCCTTAGTCCTTGCAGAATTCACTCCAGCATGTCCATGTCTCTTGTACCAGAGAGCCCAGCATGGGACAGGACACCCAGATGTGTCTCACCAGTGCTGCACAGAGAGGCAGGATCTGCCCCTTCACCTGCTGGTGATGCTCTCCTTGATGCAGGTCAGGAGGCTGGTGGCCTTCATTGCTGGCCCATGGTCAGCTCGGTCTCCCCCAGGACCCCCAGGGCCCTCTCTGCCAAGCTGCTTTCCAGCTGGATGGCCCCGGCATGGCCTGGTGCCAGGGGCTGCTCCTCCCCAGGGGCAGGATCGGCACTCCCCCTTGCTGAACTTCACCAGGTCTCTCAGCATTTTCTCCAGCCTGTCCGGGTCCCTCTGGATGGCAGCACGACCCCCACTTTGGTGTCATCTGCCAACTTGCTCCGAGTGCCCCATCGTCCAGGTCATAACGAAAATGTCAACATTTCTGGAGACTTCTGGTCCACAGGCTTTCAAACACAGCCTTCGTGGCAGCGCTCCTGGGTAGCTGCTAAAGCGTGTGAGCTTTCAGCCTGTGCTGTGTGAATTCCTCCCTACCTCCATGCCCTCCCCCTCGCCCCCTTCACACTGAAGCCATTCTTCAAGGCTGATGCCCAGAACCCACCTTGGGTTTGAATCAAAGCTACACCTTCGTGTTCCCCTGATCTCATGCTTTGCTCCAGCTCTGCTAGATTAGTGTAAGCTCTTATGCTAAGGCAATTAATATTATCCTAATGCAATTTTCCCCCTCCAGCAGCCCAAAGCCTCTGGAGATGCTCTGATCACCCCGGGCTTCGACCGTGCAGAACAAAGGGTGCATGAAAAGAGCTGCAAACCGTTTTGATCTCCTCCCTTTCCTCTCTGCAAGCACAAGGGTGAGACTGCCCCGGCGGCTGCTCGCTGCGCAACCCAGCCCGGCTAATGACTAATCTGGGAGTATTTTCGGTTGCTCTTAATAATGCAGCAGTACTTGCTGCATTGGAGTCTGGCTGTAATTATAGGGCAAGTGTCATTTGTCATTGCCATCTCCTCTCGCTGGGGTGTAGCTCCATGGCAGCGCAATGCTAGAGCGCCTTTCACACTTCTGGGGGGTCGTTTCTGGGATTTACCATGGGATCCCTCAAGAAAATCTGATGTTACACCAGTGACCAACCCAGCCCTGCTCCAGTCTGTAGGAGAGGGACAATTTGATTTGTCTCAGCAATAAAAATGTGGTTTGTTTGATCACAGGACTTCCTTCAGTGTGAGACAAACAACACCATGGAGCACATCCCCTTTACCCACTCGCCATCCTCACGCTGTTGGTCCTCACCTGCAGCTCTCAGCTGAGGTCCTCGGCTGAGCCACCCACTCACTTGGCTTACACAGAGCCAAGGCCTTTTCTGCTCCTCACCCCACCACCGAGTGAGCTGGGGGGGCACAAGGAGTTGGGAGGGGACACAGCTGGGACAGCTGACCCCAACAGACCAAAGGGACATCCAGGCCATGTGACATCATGCTCAGCATTAAAAGCTGGGGGAAGAAGAAGGAATGGGGGGAGGCTTGGAGTGATGATGTCTGTCTTCCCAAGTAACCATTACATGTGACAGAGCCCTGCTTTCCTTGGGGATGGCTGAACCCCTGCC